TGGGGCAGGGGGACTCGGAGATGGGGGGGCAATAGGAGCCCTGTGGGGTCTGTGAGAGGTTATGGGGCCCTATGGGGTCTGGATGACAGGGGTTGATCTATGGGGTTGAAGTTGGATGTGGGGTGTTGGTCCCCATAGACCCCTCAGGTGATACTTGGTCTTCAGTGTCCCCCCCTCAGGTGGCCGTTGTGCCCACAGGTTCCTCAGGTGAAGGCCGATGTCCACAGTCCCACCACAGGTGACCACAGGTCCCCATAGACCCCTCTGGTGACGCGTGGTCCTCACCATCCCTCCCTCAGGTCACTGTTGGTCTTGGGGCACTTCCCCTTGTTGAACCTCATGAGGTTCCTCATGGGCCGTTTCTCCACCCGTTGAGGTCCCTCTGGGTGGCCACCCGGGCCGCTGGGGTCTCAGCTTCCCCTCCCAGTTTGGTGTCATCGTCAAACTGGGGTGGGGGACACCATGGATGAAGATGTGGGACAGGTATTGACCCACCTGGGGTGGGGCCCAGACCCTGTGGCAGAAGGTGTCCGAGGTCCTCCTGACCAGGTGGAGGATGTCCCTCCAGTGTCCCCATCTGCCCCCCTGGCTGCTTGGGGGGGTCCCCCATCACCCCCCCCCATCTCCCCACAGCCACTGAGCAAATGGGGGCTTGAGCTTTGTTGTCACCGATGATATCATGTATGAAGTCACCTTGCAGTACCTTCACTCCCCTTCCACTAGGTCATGTGTGATGTCACATGGGCGTGGCCAGGCCATCCTCCGCATACCCCCCCCCCATCTCTAACAGGGGCCACAGTGGGGAGGAGGTGGGATGGAGCCCACCGTCCCACCCTAGTGACACCCCAAGATGTCCCAGGACCCCATGGTGACACCCTGAGGAGATCCTGGTGACCCACCAGTGACACCCCTTTGATCCCACCACCCCATCCCAATGACACCCCTGGGACCCACAGTGACACCCTGGTGACCCTCTGGGCCATCCCCGGTGACACTACCAGGACCCCTGGGGATACGCCCCAGATGCCATAGGGACACCCTTGGCTGTGGCAGTGACCTCCTGGGAGGTGCCCCCTCCCCCGGTGACTTCTGGCACCCCCAACCCCATCTGA